AAAAAAAAAAAAAAAGACTCACCATTCTCTAAATATTTTCCACTCCTTGTCTCCATACCTTTGCTAAGGTCACTTCTCTCTGGAACATCCTTCCCCAAACATCATTTAACCAAATCCTGCTGGGATGTTTAAAGGTGATTTCTTCCAAGAAATCAATCTCACCACTCACACTCTAGAGAACTATTTCTTATTGCCTAAACACCTATTACCCTTGAAGTCTTTTACAGGCATTTATAATCAATTCCAGTTTGTATCCTCGCTGTTCACGTTGGTTTTATGTGTTTCCCATGTACTAGGTAATAAATAGGCTTCTTATGGGGGAAAAAAAAAATCAAAATTTACTCATCTTTGTGTCCCCTACAATGTTCAACATAATAGAAAATCAATGTTTGAATTAATGAGGCATAGTTTGCAATTCAATGTATATGATGTTAAAAATTGAGAAATACCAAATGATTCACCAGGTTTTTTTTTTTCAAAATTTTATTTATATAGAATCTTCAGAAGGTTTCCCTTTAATTTTTACCACAAGCTAAAATTTCAAAGCTTAAAATCAGGTATTTTATAATTGTCATTGTTAAGTACAGGGAGAAGAGTTCAACCATTTCGAGGAAGAGCTTTCTTAACTGTATAAACGTTAATATTTACAATATTCTTTAATACAGATTTAGACAACGTGGCATATGTAAATGTACAAAATAGTTTAAGTCATTATCTTTCATTACAGAACATTCCAAAATTCAAAGTAATAAAAGAAATTCATAAACACTAGTAACATTTGGGGAAAACAACATCAACAGGTTTATCAATAGAGTAAACTTATACATAATACACATTTTGCACATCAAATCCGCAAATTTAAAGATCTCTGATCAGTCTATTTAAATCATGATGGAATCTAAATACTATTCTATAGTTCATAGCTGAAACAAATGTTCTGTGATAACCTATGAAACAGGAGTACAAACTATGAAATCACATTTAACATTCTTCTTAAATCCTCAAAGACTACTCTAGAATACCTCAAAGACAGCACACAAGGCATTTTTCCCTGAAATTAAGGTTCTTATGAATATATTCATAAATATAGTCGAAGGAAGAAAATACAAACAACCCAGATATCCTAGGTTAATTTTACCTTCTCAGATTTAGTTTGGTATAGAGCAAGCATCTGGTATAATCATGGCTTCTCTGGGAAACTTTGACTTTCTCCTCATATTTAGGGAGCTAACATATTTATTCTCTGCCTTGTTCCAGAAGGAATTTAAGGTCGCTTAAAAGACTGAGCAAAGGCCAGAAAGCACAAATTACAGGGTAAATGGAAAAAACAAAACAAAACAGAGAAAATGGAGTTTGGAGGGAAAAGCATATATAAAACCATTTAAGGAAAGGTCAGGAATTAAAGTATATTATTCTCCACAGTGATTTTCTGGAAATATTGCAAAGTAGGGTATTAATTTGTAAGAAAACGAACTGCTGGTAAACTGGGGATATTGATCAAATTTATTAAATTTTGTATTAATCCTGATAGAGATGATGATAAAAATGTGCTTTTTCCTCTGTGCTTGGGTAAAGTAAGTTTTCCTGAATGCCATCACGTAGGACTCTGGACTTAAGTATCTGGCTACTGGTAGAGGAGAATGTAGGTTAAAAGAGAAAAAAACAAAACAAAATTTAGTTGCCCTTCCTTAATTTCTACCGAGAAACCCAACAACCGGGGTGGAATGCATGTTGATGACGTGGGGATAGGCAGCCATAGGTCAGGGGGTCAGGTGTCCATAGGTCTCTCTGTCCACAGGCAAAGCCTCAATCCTGGGGTGGCCTGCCCACATCACTTCCCGCAGGCCCAACAGCGCCCCTTGTCGGGACCCAGAGAGACCAACGGAAGCAGGCAAACTGCACGGCAGGAGGCCTGCTCAGGTGGGCTTGCTGAGCCTGCAGTCTCCCTGCTGCCCACACCGCTGCCGAAGCTCTGACCCGCTTCCAGTCTGCACATCGCAGACCTCACCCCACGCCCGTGGGGCAGCAAAGTTGTGGAGGGAAGGCGGGGGCAGCATGAGCTTCCACAAAACACGAACGGGTCTGTTTAGCTCTGCTCTTCAGGCCCGGTTTCAACAGATGCTAACCGAACCATCTTGTACCTCTGAGCTGAGAGGTAAGAAGCAGAGGGGGTGGGGATGAAGAGAAGGGCTTGAGGGAAATGAAGACATGAAAGGTGGTAGGATACGTGGCATGAGGTTCAAAACTATAGATTAAGGATCAGAACAAAAATATCTACGTGACAGCTAAAACTAATCACTGCCTTTTTTTTTTGAAAGGATGATTGTTCCTAATCAACATTCCTAAGTTTTGGTCAGGTGAGTGAACAATGAAGTGCAAATCTATAGATCTAAAGCCCCAGGAACTGCAGTGTTCTTGGCTGGGGTGAAGAAGCTGCCCCAGGGTCGGTGAGACAGGCTTTCCAGGGAGAGGCCAATGACTACCGTCTTCCCAAGGATACTCTTCAGAATACAGGCAGGGCCACCTTACTATGTATTAGGCACCATGCCTCCAGCCCACAATACCTTTAAGGCCCATAAAATGTTTTAATTTCTTTTCAATTCAGAAGGAAAAAAAATCAATCCTTTAGATTGAGGACATGTTTATATACAATATCAGATTCATTTTATACAAATGCAATTATAATGAATTTATTTTTAATTTTTTACGGAAGACATCCAAAGGTGGCAAAAGTGTCTAAGTCCTAATGTGGCTTTGAACATAGTTCAAGGATAAAATAATGGAGGAGGAAGGAGAGTCTGATCTTGTCGATCTTATTCCACTGATTTTTCTTTTTTGAAAGCTACTTTGAGATTAGATTTTAAAGAGAACTAAGTCTAATACTGGCAAAGTACTACTGTCAATTTCCACTAGCCAAGCAGGAAAAAGAAAAAAAAAAAAAGTTCATTATTTTACTGTCATTGGGCAACTGTAAGAATCAAATCAGCACGAAGAGATCTGGATGTTTTCAGGTCCGGTCTCCACTCCTGTAAACATTACCAGAGGGAGGTTTTCCTTTGGGTCTCTGCCTCCTGAATTTCCTATATTACACTGCCCCTCAACAGACTTCCTCTGTGCTTCTCCAAGGCCCTGGCTCTGACTGCCCTCAGTAGCCCAAGTCGGCAGTGAATGTGGGCACCTGCAGTTGAAAAATGTTTTAAGAATATGATAAGAGCAAAAGGAAACAGGGAGAATGAACGGAGGAGGAGGGAGAGGAAAAAAAACTACAGTAATGTTCCAAAATTACATGGTCCAAGAAAAAAAAGGGGGGGAAGAATATATACTAAAATGTTACCTGTGGTTTTCTAGATAACAGGATTTATATATTTTTGTTTTATTCATTTTGTTTTTAAAAAATATTTTATGATAAAACATACTCTATCATCAGAAAAAAAACACTCAGTAAATATCATTTAAAAAATTGTGTTCTCCAACTCTAAACTCTGAAGATTACCATCTTTGACTTCCTCACAGTATGGCTTAGGTTGGTAAATATGGTTAACTTGGCATGCAGAGGAACCGGATTTGAGAAAAGAATTGTTAACAATTTCAATTATTTTCCATCACCCGAATTCATCAATTTATACAGAAATATCAATCAAGAGCTAATTAATACCACTTTCTAGGATCTGTTCCCAATGTACAATGGGAAAAATATGTCAAAAGGAAGAGTACAAAGGAAGCAATTACTATGTTTTACTGAATCGCAGACTTTGTGTGCTTGGAAGGATAAACTAAGTCATAAAACTCAGACCCGTGGATTATAGGTGAAGGGCCTGAGGTCCAGACAGATTATGTGATTTTATCACTGTCACAGAGCAAAGCTGATAATAGAATTAGCATAAGTACTCAGGTTTCCTGATTTTTGGTCTATAGCTCTTATAAACCTCAGTCCCAAAAGTAACTGCCTTATACATTGTTTCATTGTTTATCCTAACTACCTATAGAGGAATACATTTAGACCTGCAGGGCTGTTAGGAAGGTCATTTAGACCTCAGTTACACAAGAATTTAGGCTCAGAGAAGGTCAACTGTAACCATCTCTCCACCCCCCACCTCCAAGTCACAAGGTTGAGCCAAGACCCAGGCCATCTAAAACTGGCTCGCTGCTCTCTCAAATACTGCCATATTCTTCTGTAGCTAATGATTACAACCAAAAGAGATAAAAATACAGAATCACATCCAGATAAGATGTAATAAAACTATTATTAATAAGGATGCTTGGAGAATGGGTATAAATCAGTTCTATAGCTAATAGAAATGAACTCAAATCTATTTGAGTAAACAGGCAGCATGAGTGCTAATTTTACTTGAAAATGTACTTAAATGTAAATCACAACTTTAAGTTTTGTTGGAAGAACAAAGATGATGGAAGATGATGTAAATAAGGGCTTTCAGGTTCTCAGGTTCATGCATCTGAAAATAAATTATAAATGTTTTTAATTCTTTAGAGCAGGGGTTGGACGATAATGGCCAGCAACTCGTTTTCTGTGAGGCTCATGAGGTAATACGAATGGTTTTATATTTTTAAAGGACTGTAAAAAAAATACAAAGAAGAATGTCTGATAGAGACAGTATGTGGCCTACAAACCTAAGTTATTGTCTAAATGCCCCTTTAAATAAAAAGTATGCTGACTTAAGGGGCACCTGGGTGGCTTGGTTGGTCGAGCGTCCAACTTCAGCTCAGGTCATGATCTCACGGTTTGTGGGTTCCAGCCCTGCATCAGGCTCTGTGCTGACAACTCAAGAGCCTGGAGCCTGCTTTGGATTGTGTGTCTCTTCTCTCTGCCCCTCCCCAACTTGTGCTCTGTCTCTGTCTTTCAAAAATAAAGAAATGTAAAAAAAAATTAAAAAATTAAAAAAATTAAAAAAAGAAAGTTTGCTAACTTATGTTCTACACTTAGAAAGTATATGAAACTGGGTTAGATATGTAATATACCCTGGAAGGCTTTTTTGTTTTTAAAATTAAATCTCTGATTTAATATTTAAGCAGTATTATAATTTGCCTCTTCTGAGAACAGGTAGTAGAAAAAAATCTAGTTTGAGGGTGAAGATTATTCATCTTCCAATTAAATGAGGTTTTATCACACACACTAACAGAAGTGGACATACAGCTGAAGCTAATTATTTCATGTATCTGAAATCCATACAAAATGTTTCAGATAGCTGAGAAAATGCCATATCCTGTAGTATTACTGCTATAAAATAAAATGGAAACAAATATCTATAATGGGAAAACTGGCAAGCTGATTCTCTCCTTTGGGTCTCTTATGCCTGCCCTGGCCTCCTATAGCATGTTGCTAGATTCATTAGACCACTAGTTCTCAACCATGTTATTAATTACCTCAGTGACCATCCATCCATGTCTCGTTTGCAACCATAACCAAATCTCACCAAAACACATGGAAAAAATGGAAGTGCTCCTAATGAGACACAGACCTGAAGTACCAAAAGTGGAATGACTAGTTGGGGAAGAAATAAATATGACAGATACATGCCATTTATCGACCTGAATACAACAGTACAGCAGACAGCCCTTCAGAGTCTACTGCACTGCTTACTGGCCATGGTCGGACTGTAGCACCGCAGCAGACCCTGGTTCACACAACACTCTGATAATCACTGTAGGAAAACAAGTCCGTATCTCTTTGTCACATGATTTACGTGACCAAGTTGGATTCTGTGAACTAGAGACAAAATATTAAAGGTGTGCCACTATTAGCTAAATTACAATAATTTCAAGGTTATTACTTTGAGAGTAGGATCTATTGTGTCCAGATTAGAATGCCTTACTTTAAAATAATTACATTAACAATTCCTTTGGACCCACAGCACAGTTCTCTTCAGCCACTCCGTTCTCTGGCTTGCTTTTGTAATTGGAAAGGAATAAATTTTCTATTTGAGTCAAGAATTCTTCGGCAATGAAGCAATTAGTCACGTTGCTCAGAGTTTTCCTCAGACACTCCAAGAGCTATTGGAGAGAAAAGTTTTATATTTAAAAAGGGTAAGAAGAGGGTTTGCAGTTTTAAATAAATATTTAAAAAGGGTAAGAAGAGGGTTTGCACTACTATCGTTATTGTATCCCTTTCCAAATCTTTTTCTAATAAGCAAAAGAGAAACAGTCTCCTTAAATGTGGTTGAAGACAGTTTTGTGATCAATAATCACGCACCGAGAGTGTAGGAAGTCACTGTTGAGAAATACTTGGGCTTATTCCTTTATGACTTTATATGAGGAGACACACTTGAGATTTTAAGTGTGATTTTTTTACTTTGGACAAATTTGTGACTTTGCTTCTTTTTTTAGTAGTTACATTTACAAAGCAAAGTAATCCTGTAGAACGAAAACCTATGTACATACACGGACGCTACATCAGGATGGTAGATAGAGCTGTTTCCTGAGAAACACGCACATTAACCTTCCAACGGAACAAAAAGAAAGTTTTAATACAAGGGGGTAAAAATATTAAAAAGAAACTCAGTATGTTTTAGTTTTCTCTTCTTAAATTGCTACCAAAAAAAAAAAAAAAAAAGACAGATGTTACCAGTCTATGGGTCTTTAACTCTTTATACCCATAGAAGCAAAACAAGAAGTAAAATAAAAATATTCAGGACTCTTTATTTCCTACCAGAAAGTTAAATAAAATGACACTTAAACTTAATTATTAGATTTATACTACCAATCTTAAAAACGAACAATTATTAAGGCTAAATGGAAACATGAGACTTTTGAATTTAATAAAATGAGAAAAATATTCTCCATTGTATATAATAATAATCTGCTAGGAAATTTATCAGCCAACACTGACAAATTTATTCTAAACTAGTATTACTTCTATATGCAAGTGTGGGCAACAAAATACGTTACTAATTTTCTCCTAGAAATTAATTTTAGATAGGAAACGGCAATAACAAAAATACACAGAAAATGTATCCACAAAGCATTAGGCATCATGGGAAACCACATCGAGATGAATAGCTTTAGAATCTGTGAACAATAGAACCAATTAAAATCAAGGCAGCTTACTTTCTGCAAACAAGTCAGGTCAGAATCCCGGCGGAAGATTTTATCCATAGGGACACTGCTGTTGGAAGAAATATGAAGACAAACTGATGAAACAAATACCACAAAAGAATCTGTTTTCTAATAAACTATCACTGACGCCATACATCATAATTTTATATTTAACTTGGGTTTTCTCTAAAACATCATTTAATGAGACGCGCTGCAGATGTGCGGCCACCTCAAACCACAGCACATACCTATGGGACAGTCGGTATTTTTCTATTATCCATCTTGCCTTTTCAAACACTAATCCCCACTGAGGTTCTTCTAGCATCTGCTGTACTTCAAATTTGTAAGGTAAACCTAGAAAAGCATAATGAAGCAGACTGTCATCAGCTATCGCTTCAATCCCCAATCTCCTTTTAATTACCAAGAATCCTCACAACCACAACCTGGCAGACCAGCTGAACAGCACTTTAAACACAGTGGGCATTCATTCAATATTTACTGCCTGGCTGAACCTGGCCCATCGAGCATATTAATGCTCAGCAATTAATAACAATAAAGAAGAGTACATGTACCATTTGCATGACAATTCTATGTAAGGAACGGAGGAGCAGGATGATCACATAATTTACATCCAAATCAAGAGACTTTTTGAGTGAAAGGGGGCACTGTTCAAAACGGTGACAGAACTTCGGCTAAACAGACACCGAGGTAGGCAAAAGAAGACAATTCCATCCTAGTGATTTTTATTTTCACACGGGTCATTGAGCTTACAGCAATGCTATAAGGCAGGTGCATTATTCCTACGTTAAAGATAAGGAAACGAAGGCCGAGACACGTGGAACGACCTGCTTAGACTGGTGAAGTGGAAGAGCCTGGATTTTAAGCCCCAGCAGGTCTGCCTGGCTTCTGGGCCCACACTCACTTGACCTGCCTACAGGTGCCAACCTAACCAGTCAGGGAACAGGATGAACTCTGGAAGGGCAGCAACTGCACTCCTGTCAAAATGGTCATGCTCAGTTCCAGAGACAGGAGCCCAAGGGGTGGATGCCATGTACATAGCCAGAAAGGCAAAAGACCAAAGGATGAGCCTACTTAGAAATTTTTCACATGGCCTTCAAGATCCCCCTGTAATTATATTTGCAGTGTATTAAAAGAAAAGCTGAGTTGATCTGTTAGCAGAGGGCAACACGGTAAAATTAACTGTAGAACTTATACAATGCTTACTACATGGAATGCCACTTAAATGCACTAGCTGCCAGTACTGTCCTCTATTTATTTATTTTTGGATGAGGACACAGAGCCACAGAGAGGTTAAATACCTGTTCATCAGCTTACACGTAATTACTAAGTAGAGCCAGGATCTGAACCCAGGCAGTCTGGCTCCAGTTTATGTTATTAACTTTACATTATACTGCCTCTCAACTGCGTTTTTGCCAATATTAAGACTTTTCAGGTAAATAAAATGCCAGCAAATCGAAAGGCATGAAAAAAAATGAAGGGAAACATTATGATTGTCCTTCCTTACAATATAAGCATACTCTGTCAATATGCTCTAAAATGGTCTTTTTTCCCCATTTTTTCCCAGGTGGATTTTTTTTTTTTCATTTCTCAGTTCTCCTCTATTTCATGTCTTCCCTCCAAAAACTTAAGAATAAAGCATTTGACTAGTTTTATTGCGATATTCGCTTTATTGTGGTGGTCTGGAACCAAACCTGCAGTATCTCTGTGGTACGCCTGCCTGTAACTAACATGCACGCTGCCTGGCTCTAACTTTTCTGCACAATATAACCCTTGTGCCCAGAGGCCATGGTAACACAGTAGGGACTTGAATCTAGAAGGATATCACTAAAGGAAAGAGGGAGGCCGCACTACATGGTATGTAGACAGCAATTCTCTAGTTGAGGCTGCAAAGCTTTCCATCACATAGTTTCACATAGTTGTAAATTCGTTGCTATGAAAGATTCAAAGAAACGTGGGCAGAAAGAGGATGAAGTTGTTTTTGTTGAAAACTTACGGTAAGAGCCATCTGAGCTAATTTTATCACTTATAACTAGGCAGGTAATCTGGGAATAAGGTAAAGGATTGTTCTGATTATAAGGACTAACAATCATTCCAATGAACTTGGCACCGCCTCTGGAGAAGTAACTCTACAATTCAAAGAAAAGTAAAATTAGTCTTGACTACATAAATTTAAAAATCAGTATTTACCCATAGCAACATCTTAAATAACGAATGGAGAAAAAAGGAGCACCAAAGTGTGTAAAAAACTTCACATCCAAACAGCAACTAAATGAAATATACTATATATCATTCCACACCCTAAATTTTTCAGGTCAAAATGTACTCAACCCAACCAGAAATGATCCTTAAAAATATGACCTGGCCTGAAAATCTGTATTTACCATGAATATGTCTACAAATTATTTTCACTACCCTTCACCTATAATCTTTATCAATATGGTAATAATAGCTGCCTATAGCAAAAACATACACCTATCAAACATAAAATGTTGGAACAAAAGTTTGTTTTTTCCAGAGATGCAAAATAGACTGCTTCTGGTTATTTCACTTGTACCCAGTCCCTGTACTAGTTGTTCCCATCAATTTTTAGAGGCTCTGGGAGTAATTATCACTGTCACTTAGATGGCTTGTCTGCACTAAATAGCTGATTTTCCAAATGTTTAAATAAACATATATTACCCCTGTAATCAGAAAAAATGCAAAGTTATTTCAAAACTCCAGATGTAAATAATATTAGAAATTCAATACTTCGCTAGAAATGTTAGAAGTATATTTATAGAGGGCGCTTGGGTGGCCCAGTCAGTTAAGCGTCAGACTGATTCAGCTCAGGTCATGATCTCACAGTCTGTGAGTTCGAGCCCCGCGTCGGGCTCTGTGCTGACAGCTCAGAGCCTGGAGCCTGCTTCAGATTCTGTGTCTCCCTCTCTCTCTCTGCCCCTCCCCTGCTCATGCTCTGTCTCTCAAAAATGAATAAACGTTAAAAAAAAAAAAAAAGTATATTTATATAATAGAAAGCAACGAGAGGAGAGAAAACGTGCATACATGCAAGACCTAGAGGCACACCTGGTATTTGGCTTGAGTGTCAATATCTCGTAAAGAAGGATTTGGATCAAAGGCAGGATGAGAATGATACCATCCAATTACACGATAGCCTCTCACAGCCAAGGTTTCTGAGGCCTGTGTTTGTGACACAGGATCCATCTCACACTGCAGTCCTGTACTCAGACTGTTACATGGTTCTGCTGCACAGACCTACAAAAGATTAATCCTTACATGGTTACATTGAATCCCGTTAATTCTATCACTTTAATGTTTTAGTTCTTTCATACATAGATGCAGAGGCTTTTTTTAGGCCACGTCTTTTATCCGACAGTATCACAGGCAGCCTTTAGCCAGCAAATGAATTACACTTCAAAAGTGATTCGATGTAGGAACTCAGAATCCACTTTTCCACTCAGACAAGGCCATAATAATTGTTAGTTTTCCAGGCCAGCCCATATAATACCTGCACATACAAAGTCTTTCAATGAGTCCTATTATTTATAATAATAAAGTGATGCATGCCAAGTTTCAACTATAAGGTTGCTGCATGGTTCCTGGCCTCTTAAGAGTAGTTGTAGCATTTTACTGGTGAAGGCAACGAGGAGGCGAGGCCTGGCCGTGCTCCCTCTTTCTTGATGGTAAAAGGAAACAGGTACTCAATATATGGAATATTAATTTACTCCTGGGAATATCCAGCCACACTGGCATATTCTCATTTATATCACAGGTAATTCTATTTTAATTATATCCACTGAAATCTATAAAAATATTTGGTATGGCAGCAGGACTAAATGATTTTAAAAAATATTTAAGAGCAAGAACTTACTTCAACTATCTTATCAACTTCTGAGTATCTTCCTCCTAATAGACCAATCACTTCTGCCATAGAAACATGAGCATGCTAAAAAGAAATACAAAATAGACTTAGCCCAAACATACAAATCCATCTGACAAAAAATCAGAATAAAACTCACTTATACATAGGAGAATCATTTGTAAGTACGGTAACCAGGCATAGCAGAGGAATCAGACACTAGGCTCACTACACAAAGACTTGGGATTTCAATCTATCTGCGCTGCCAGCTAAGAAGCTTTGAAGCAAACACTCAAAGATGTCATTATTTAATTTACAAAATGAAGACACCATTTGCTTTCCTCGCTCAGGACCCTAAAGATAAAAAGTAAAAGTCACTCCTGATAGTCCTACAAAAAACATCCTCTAGAAAAACATCCAAAACCAACACAGCTACTGGAGGTCTCAGTAACTTAGTGCAAACAAGAAACCTCCAAGTGGTAGGAGTTGTGCTTTGCTGCAGTTATCTAGAAGGCAGCAGACAAAGGATGCCAGGAAATTAAAACAGGGTTAATGATGATAAACAGTCTGCAAAAACTCACATTAATTTATTTTCTCTAAAATATGGAAACATGCAATTGTTTGGCTTTTCTCCAAAAGAAAAGACTTATTTTTAGACTCCTTGTAAAAGAGGATAGTTAAGATCCAAAATACACGTCTTCCATACTCTCTCTTAAGCCTGCAATAAAAATACACAAGAATAGAAATCAGAGTAAGTAAACACAATAGATTATCCTTACCAAATCCATTATTAAAAGTGCTTCTGAAGCCACTTTCACCTGAAATGGCTCCTGAAATATAAAAAAAAAAAAAAAAAAATGGGGGAGCATAAAAATAGAGATTTTATTCCTCCTCACTGGAATATCCACCCTTTTCTTCTTTACCTATCACACCAAGTTCTCATCACCAACCAAGGCTCAGCACAAATCAGAGATTTTTACAAATATTATCATTCAAAATCCTAGCATGGAGAAATTCTCTTTCATTTCCCATCTGCATCACTCATCTGACCCATAATGTACCTTGCCTCGTCCAATCTTTCACATACATATATGCCTTGCACACAAAGGAAAAGAAATACTTCCTGTCTGACAGAAGGGCATGGTTCATGGCCATTTAGTGATGCATAAATAGTACCTGCTTTTCTTCACTGAAAGAATGACAAGGTATCAGTTGGAAGGGATCAAATGAGCTGAAAAAGGAAAAAAAAATCATTTCTAATATAATCTCAATGACAAGATCAGGAAAATAACATTCATTTAAATTTGAAAATGTGTATCAATAATCTAAATCTAGATTCTCAGAAAAATACTAAGCGAGGGGAATTTCTTAGGACATCCCACATAACTCTGCTGAGTTTTGGACTTGATTTAAAAAATGGGAAATGACAGGGCCTTTGGGAGAAAGTAGTTGTTGCCTTAGTTTCTTTTAACACCCAAAGAGAAGAATGTTGTACCCACACATGTGTCCGAAACTGAAAGGTTTCAAAAAGTTTGAAGAAAATGTAAACAACTCCCTGACATGACATGGTAAAAAAAGTTTCAAGAAGAAAGTTCTCAAAAACACTTGTCAGTACGGTATCAGCACAGGGTAGGGACTCAAATATTTGTTGAATGAATGGCAATGGTTCTACTAAAGAAATCAATGTATATGAAAAGTTCAATGATAAACTTGTATTTTAAAATAAAAAAGTTAGGGGCAGGTGAGTGTCTCAGTAGGTTAAGCATCCGACTTCAGCTCAGGTCATGATCTGGCAGTTCTCTTGAGTTGGAGCCCCCACGTCAGGTTCTGTGCTGACAGCTCAGAGCCTGGAGCCTGCTTCAGATTCTGTGTCTCCCTCTCTCTCTGCACCTCCCTCACTTGCACTCTCTCTCTCTCTCTCTCAAAAAGAAACATTAAAAAAAAATGAAAAAAAAATGAGAAAGTTAAAAAAAAAGACAAAAAAAAAAAAAGAGGGGCACGTAAGCAAGGGTAGATAAAAAAGCATGTATTAATCTGAGAGCAATATTAGAAAGGCTTTGAGCAGTAAAGAACTGAAGTCTGAGGAAGATATCAAGAATAAGGTTTCTTTAGGCTATGGTCAGAGAAAGAAAAAAACAAGGAATATATGTTCATGTTAACACAACCAGAAAAGAGCAGGACTATTTAGCTCCTATTCTACCAGAGACTGTTAGTGTCAGCAATTCAGACACTTTGTACTCCAAGTGCCTAGAACAGTGCCTGATACATAGTAAGCATTTTTCCAGAAATATAAGATGAATGAAGAGGAAAGATCTTCAAGTAAAAAAGTGCTTCATCAACACGAAAAAAAAGAACACAAAGACAGCATATGTATCCCAGAGCAATGAAGAACCATGATGTGAAACCCACTGACCTTTTTGGAGGAACTGTTCAGAATGGAAAAATTATTGGAGGGCTACAAATAGGCAATTTTGGGCTTTATTTTCTTAAAGCAGACTTTGGGAGCAGAGGAATTAAATGTGAATATTGAGAAAATTCTGGAAAAGATTATTCAACAGCTGATTTTGAGCCTTTAAACAAGTGAAGAGAGGACTACGAAGGGTAATAATGGATTCATGAAAATATATGTCATGATAAGTAAATCTAAATTTCATTTTTTTTTAAATGTTTTTTTAATGTTTATTTTTGACAGAGATAGAGACAGAGCGCAAGCAAGGGTGGGCCACAGAGACAGACAGACAGACAGACAAAGAAATCTTAAGAGGCTCCACGCTCTGAGTTGTCAGCACAGAGCCAAACACGGGGCTCGAACCCACGAACCATGAGATCATGACCTGAGCCGAAGTCAGATACTTAACCGACTGAGCCACCCAGGTGCCCCTAAATTTCATTTTTGATAGAACTGATCTGCTAGAAACTAGCAGACTCATAAAGATTCAAATATATTTTGTCTGAATGTAAGCAAGACATCTACTATGATTTTTCTTCTGCACAAGATGAAAAATCATGAGTCAACTATGGCAATGTATAGCTGATGGAACAATGATGTCTGAGGCTTTCCCTTATTCCAGTTAAACATCTTAAGCAGTGATCAATGGCAGAAGAGGTAAGCTTACTGAAATGTTGACTCAAATCTACGAAGGCTAATATAAGAAAAGTGGAGCTGGATTCAGATTGTGACAAACTGGAATAATGACTTGGAAATCACAATAAATATGTCTCATGCTGAGATTCAGAAAAGCAAATGTCTGCATACTAGATAAGGAGTCCTAGCTTATGGATGACGATATTTTTTTACATAGTTTATCTTATTTTACTCTCAGAACAACTGTAGGTTTTAATTTTTCTTTTAGAGAGGGGATATATAATGTAATGTTAGCAGTATGGATTCTTAAGTCTGACTGCCTGGATTAAATCACAGCTCCATCACTAACAAGCATGAGCAAGTTTGTTTCCTCATGAATGATATTATTAACTACTGCACAGGGTGGTTATGGGGATTAAATGAGTTAATATATACAAAGTGCTTAAAGCATAGTCAACAGTCTCAGCTATTATAGTTATTATTTTATGAATGAGCACTGAAGGCTTAAGGCTTTACATAACTTACCTAGGGACTTACACTTGGTTAAACATCAGGGCTCTTTCACTGAAAATGACCTGGGGACATTTCTAGATATCTTATTTTAAAAGGGACACTGGTGAAACCATAATCTATTTCTGCATCTACAGAAAGTGAGGGTCCAGAAAACCAAGACATTTAACTTACTTGGTGACTCTTAACTGTTATGTTACAAATAACAGATTATTAAAAAAAAAAAAAACAACCACACACACACACACACACACACACACACAGAAAAATCCCCAAAAACCTTGCTAACAATCAGCACCAACCAAAGAAAGCACTAGTCGTTTCATGAGGTTACCTATTTATAATGTCTAAGGAGTTGAATGACCACCTGTTATAATAAAGGCCCCTTTACAACATATGTTGGATCCTATAGTCACTAAACCTATAAATTCAAAACTTTTGCTCAAGCTCTTCCAAACTGGTAATCAGTAAATAAAAAATCTCAAAAATTCTAGTAGCATTTAAAAAAAAATTTTTTTTAATGTTTTTATTTATGTTTTTGAGACAGAAAGAGACAGAGAGAGACAGAGCATAAGCTGGGGAGGGGCAGAGAGAGAGGGAGACACAGCATCTGAAACAGGCTCCAGGCTCTGAGCTGTCAGCACAGAGTCCGACGTGGGGCTCGAACTCATGGAGTGTGAGATCATGAACTGAGCTGAAGTCAGACACTTAACAGACTGAGCCACCCAGGCGCCCCATCTAGTAGTATTTTTAAACTTAATATGAATAATATGTTGCTAATCAGGTATTTTTTCCATACATTCCTAATCATTGGTGATAAGTTAAAAAAAATTACATGTGTAAAACACTATACCTTTTTGTTGGTCTTGGTACTTTTGAGGATTTAACAGATTTACATTTTTCCTCTTTTCTTCTCGCCAATTCCTCGGCAGAGAGATGCTAAAACAGAAAACAACCACTTGATCAACCAGTCCATCAGCCACTGACAGGCAGAATCAATAATAATAAAGAATACTCTTTAACACAATAATTAAAGGCAGGTGAGAACAGGATAGACTATGTTGATGGAGATGTACCTCCTTCTTTCTACTAACAAATTGCAATGCTAGATAATATATTAAAAAATTGTTCCAAAATCTACAGCCACACCAAACTTAAAAACCTCAGAATCACCTGAGTCCCTCCTTTTACTTATTTCCCATTTCTAGTCATCAAATCCTATTGTGTTGTTTTCTTTCCCAACAGGGAGACAGCGCAGCATAATGATAAAGAGTACAGATTCTGGAGACAGAATGCCTCGCTCTGCTACTTACTGGATGACCCTGGCCAAATTACTGAAGCTTTCTGTGCTTTAGTTTCCTTATCTTTAAAATGGGAACAAAAATAGTAATAACAGTGTCATGATGTCATCGTAACGATGCATTAATGTTTATAAAACACTAGAATAGGGTTGGACACATACATAATAAGTCCTACATAAGTACAAAATTAATCTTTTCATTCCATTTCTACTATCATTCTTACACTTTAGCCCAAATAACTAGGCACCTTTTCCAGAATATGTCTGGTATTTTCCCACATCTCTACCTTTGTTTATGCTGCTCCCTTAGCCTGGAATGCCCTCACCTACTTTTCTACATTTTGAGATTGTCCTGCTAATCCCTCAAGTCACATCTTCTGTGAAACCTTCTCTCATCACACACACCCCTTGGGGAAGACCTGACATTTCTTAAGATCAACCTTACGGAACTTAACACAGGTTTCATCTTTCCTACTAGAAACTATAGAAGTTCTTTCTAGGCAGGAATCATGCATTACTAATGTTGTGCCTAGATTAGAGATTAAGTGAGGCTAGGGACAGGGAATGGGGAAGAGAAAAAGAGGAGAACGTTTTCTTTTTGTTTTGTTTTTGTACTGAAACTCAAGAGGAAAACTAAAATTTACTGAGTAATTGGTATATGCAAGGCTTATTAAGTAACCTAGTACTAGAATCTTCATATATTTTATTCCATTTACTTCACTTAATTCTCATAACAATTCTTGGACAGAGGTATTATTCACACTCCATAAACAAAAACCTGAATTTCAGTGAGGTTAAGAAACTGCTCAAGGTAAGAAAGCCAGTAAGTACACATTCACACATTCTTTCCATTCTACTGCACTGGGTGTTCACAAATAAATTCTATAGATACAGAACTTATACACACACACACACATTCGTCACCCATGTTTCTTTTCAGAACCACAGTTTTTATTGGTGGAAATGACACTTTAGTATTTGTAATTCAATTTATGTCTAATGCTTGGGACAATATTTTAATTGGTATATCAGAACATCATTCTATAAATAAATGTTTACTGAAATGAATTAGGCATACCAACTTCCTGGCACCTTGGCAGATATTCTTGAGCTAGAGACCAGAATACAGAGAATAGACAAAATTTGGAAAATGAATCCAACTCCTAGTTAATTGCACCAATGCCTTCTATTTTGTTGTTTATTGGTGACTTCTAGACAAATTAACATGGGACGGATACACACACGCACACACAAGTGTAATATATGTGACATTAAGACATACATATATAAATGACGGAACAACTTTTAGTGATGACCTATCTGGTAAGGTCAAAGTTACCTCAAAGGTTTGTCCTTCTAAGTCTTTTGCATCACACCAATTTCCCCATGGGTCTCGGACCCTACGTCTCCTTGTGCGCTGTGATAAGATTAAAATGAAGCAAAAGGTAACAAGATTAACCTGGGGAAATCACAGCACAATACACAAAGCCAAAATGATATTTAAAAAAAAATCAGTTAATTTCTCCATTAAAATACTGTAATCCCTGATCAGCATTGCCTGACTAAATTTTATTTTATTAACTTATGTTTAATAGTTTGCACTCTGCTCAGAAATAAATCAGTAATGATTTTCTGAATTTTACCTGGATTTCTTATTGAATTTTCATTTCTTATCGCCACTTAGAAACTAAAATACTAGGACAAAAAATATTTTTAAGATTAAAAAGAACCACCAAGAAAATGACTTCCCTTTCAACCACTTGTGGTAGAAAACTTGCAAGAACGCGTAGCAAGAGGTAGAATATTAAAACTAGAAGCAAAATTACATCTCAGCCTCAGAAAGGGAAAGACTGCCTAGTGGATGCAATAAAAACAATAAAACATTATGAAATTAGTTGACAAGATAACTAATATCTAGTTTTATAAACCCCAATACTGAAGCCTTTAAAACAGACTGCTCAAGGGCGCCTGGGTGGTTCAGTCAGTTAAGTGTCCAACTCTTGATTTCGGCTCAGGTCATGATCTCATAGTTGGGAGACTGAGCCCCATGTCAGGCTCTGTGCTGGGCGTGGTGGAGGCTCCTTAAGATTCTCTCTCTCCCTCCCTCAGTTCTTCCCAGCTTGCACTCTCTCCCTCCCTTTCTCTCAAAACAAAAAAACAAACAAACAAACAAACAAGACTGGCTCAGAGGCCAGTGTTTGAGTGGCACCTTTTCCAGCAACTGTATCTAAATACATCCTTTCTTATAAAAGTAAATCTAGGTAGGCAGAAATGGTTAACAGCCTAAATACGCTAAGAAAAATGTCAACTCTATTATCTATACATTTCTTCATTTACCTCACCTATTACCAATCTACTTTATTAGTAAAACCAACGAGATCACACTATGACTCTGCCTTTTAAGAGGCTTGTAGATCACTCACCTTTAAAATAAGATTCACAAATTGTAAGACACTGTAAAACTCCCTAACTTCAAGAATTAAAAAAGAAAGGCTACAATAGTTTGGAGAGCTATTCCAAAAAGCTGAATCTTAACCTAAGACTTTTTAGCTAAACAAAGTAAGTGAAAGAAAAAGGAGCCTAGCTGTATGGCTGTAAAAGACACACTAGACTTAGAAACTGGAACCAAGAATTCTAAGACCACGCGAGCAAAGTGCGACGCTTCCGTGTCAAGTCTGCCGGCGAATTACGAGGTGCTTTTGGTTTTTGCCTTATAAACTAACATGACACTGAATAGAAACCAGAAAAGTAAATGGCTAAGGTGACATACAAGAGAAAACACGTTCTTCCACTCACTGTCCATGTGTTTAACAGGTGGCTAGAAGGGGGCACACCTTAGATGACAGGTGAACACTTACCATAGACTGCAGACGCTGTGCAAGCTGGTATGCTTCCGCCGCATCTTTTCGGTCCCTGGCTCGTGCTTTGTCAACTGGTTGTGGCCTGTTGTACACAGCCTGTTCTATTGGAATTCGGGAAAAATAAAACAGCCTATTATTTTCTGAAACTCATTCGTTCAATAGGAAGGCACACCTATACTGACTGGAAGTTGTAAGCCAATTTCTAAGTTTTGTTATACCTAAGCTTCTATCTTAATTCTGCAATTACTTGGCAGTCTCACGTAAAACTAACACTCTTAAGGAAATCTCAGTAAAATGGGATATTCAGGAAATGGGTAATTTAATTTCTAATTAAACGACTGCTAAGCTCACTTTGCTGAATTCAGAGGTCTAACACAGAAAACATGATTTCCTTTTTTTTTTTAGTGGCTGTGGAAGCTGCGAACCCTTAGTTTTCCTGAGCAGCCAGTCCCAAGATACAGTGCCTGGGGAAACAGACACCGAAATGAAAAACAGACCGCAGGGCAGACTGTAAATTCTCTCTACAAGATAAATAAATAATCTCTAATAGGAGATTTTCTGGTTAGCTGTCTTCTCAAAGACAGAACATATTCTTCTGAAACCATGGGTTACAAAGTTCTAATTACCTATCTAATTACCTTATCACAACTATGGTTATTAACTTTCTTCAAAATGTTTGTGTCAAGTTAATTCAATAAAAGTAAAAAATACATTCAAAATCATGCATATTTGAGAAAAACTAGGGTGAAAGAAACTTGCTTCCGTGAAAAATATTTTGGCACTTTTATTACATTTAAGTGTAGAGGCTCATAAATTATTTCCTTTACTTAAACACTGCTAGACAGTATTTCTAGCATTAATACAGATTTTGCATATTGAATGGGCTACTATCAGACTTTTCTTAAAATGATGTTACTTGTACTTGACAAAGAGCTTCATTGTTAAATTATTTCTCCCACTTAGAGAATATTTTTCCTTTTCATACCACCAATTTTCACTGTAGGTTACAGGAAAATGGAGCTTAACCAACAGAAATCTGTTTTACAAAAAAACTTAGTAATACAGTTATTCCATATTATAGCATCTTTCTGAATTCTGCATCTATACTAAATCTGCTTGAATTCTAACCATCAAGGAAGTTAACGGGTGCTCTAAGGATAAAAAATGTTGAGTAAAAGATGTTGTTGGGTTTTTATTTTTACCACATCCAAAATTGATTGCTCCTATCAACTCGAGGTATGTATGAATCCGTCCAATACAATTAACATCCCCACAGTTCTTCAGGCCAGGACGTACTGAGGTCTTATTTAAGTATTTCGGTTTGCATATCTCCCTAATTAAGAGATGGAAGTACAGTTATTTTGGATAAATAAAAACATGAAAAAAGATTTCTGGGGAAAACTTTTAATATTTGAAATATCTTAAAAATTTACCCCCTCTCAATCTGTAAATGTGTAGTAAAAACAATGCTAATACATAATACCCAACTGTACTTTTTCCTGAAATTACCTTTAAATGATACAATAACCTACAAGTATAATGTGATTTTTATTAACTATTATTTTTTTCCCATATGAAATGCCATAGATTCCAGTTATCCCAGGATTTTAAAGTTAGAGGTTTTGTCAACAGATCCAAATTCAAGCTTCAAGAATAAAAAGGGCACTCTGACAACATATCTAAAGTATTTGGTATTAGACTTTTCTAATTTTTAATATATTACTAAGGTTCGTCCACTTTCACTTTGCTGGGCAGTATCTTTTAATTATAAGCTACCTTATAAATGCTTGAAAGTTTTATACTGGTTTTTAATCATTAGGCCAATAAATAAGAGTAAGCACTCTCAGTGGAAAACAGAAATATTAATATTATAGAGGATTTCCAAGAAATCAAGAAATGCCCAAAGACTATGAAAAAAATACAAGGTTTACATAATATAGTTCATATTTACTGAATGTACTTATTGTACCATGGCAGATAGAGTTTAAGAGTAGTGGAGAACTTAATAATAGCAGCAAACAGTTCCCGAGTGCTTATGCCAGTACTAACAGTTACACAACCTTAATCCTCACAACAGTTCTACAAAGTAGATTTTATTATTCTTATTTTAGTATAAGGAAGCAAAAAGTCAAAGAAATTAAAGTACTTATTTGAGGAAGTTAAAGTCAAGATTTACATACAGACATTATAGACCAAGTATTCAGACATATCATGTAACAGGATTTCTTATTGAATCTTTATTTTATTCCACAAATATTTACTTTGCATCTTACATACCGGGCACTGTCTAGGCACTAAGGATACAGACATGAATATAAAGTTCCCGACTTTACATGCTAATGGGAGGATATATAGGGGCGCCTGGGTGGCTCAGTCAGTGAGGTATCTGACTTTGGCTCAGCTCATGACCTCATGGGTCATGAGGTCAAGCCCCACGTAGGGCTCTGTGCTGACAGCTCAGAGCCTGGAGCCTGCTTCAGGTTCTGTGTCTTCCTCTCTCTCTCTCTGTCCCTCCTTTGCTCTGTCTCTTTCTCTCTCTCAAAAATAAAATTAAAAAAAAATTTAATGGGAGAATATGACTAATATATATTACATATTAATATATTGCTTGTAATCTTATATTAATATATAATTAATTATATATATAGCAGTAAGTGCTAGGAAGAAACAGTAAGAAGGATAAAGGGATAGAGAGACAAACAGGCACAGACTACTTCAGAGAGGGTGTTTAGGGAAGGCCTGCCTAAGCAGAAACCAAATTTAAAATCATACATTCTACAGACATTCAGTGAGGGCAAGAAGTAATTTGTGATATGGCAGGGTATCAGAAATGCCATTGAAAAGATGAGATTTCAGTGTTTTCACTTCAGTTCAGTGTGAAAGAAAAGGAAACAAATTGCACAAATGAAGGCAAGAAAACAGGAATGAACACGGTGTAACAAGCTACCAAAAATCTGTAGCAATCTAAAAACAGTATTGATTTAATTAAAGACTGCCCAAATCGAAAGACTTTAAACAAAGCTCAGCACTAGTTTGGTGCTGAACAAACGGTAAGGCCTCTAAAGATCCCTGTTCGTGATTCATCATGCCAACTTTTCCCCTTAACAAAGAGTGCCTTTTATATTTGCTTAGAACAAGCACTGCCCTAAGCACTAGAGGTGTAACAATGAACACAACAGACAAAAGTCTGTCCACATGAAGTCTGTATTATCATGGGGAGGGAGAGGGAAGGAAGAGAAGACAATACAGAAATAAAAACGTCGTATCTTCAGTAGTAGTAAGTTCTATGAAGATAAATAGAATACAAACTAAGAGAGTGAGGGGCAGATGTGAGCTATTTTAGATAGGGTGGTCAGTGAAGTCCTCTAACTTCCCTGGAGCAGACCTGAGGGGACAACGATGCATGGTTCACCAAGATCTAGAAGGCAGCATGGGGGAAGCATTCAGGGCAGAGTGAAAAAGTCTGAGTCAAGGACCTGAGATGAAGTGAGAAAATTACAAGTCAAGACTGCAGACCCTGAAGTCACCTTCACCTAATGTGACCTGGAACAAGTTCTTTTTCCTCTCTGAGACTCATTTTTCTCATCTGTAGAATGAGGACGAGTTTGTCAGAACTGGAGATGACTTAAATACATTTAAATGCATTCGGGAGGCATTCAATAACAGTGTTAACTATCTTAAAACATTCCCATAAACAGGGGGTCAGTTGCATGTGTTTTTATGGAAAGGATCCTTTAGCTACAAACAAATCAGGTCTTTTCTTTTAAAACTTTAACTCTTCTACTTTTGTTTTTTTTTAACACCACCTCCAGTCCCCTCTTCTATTTCCGAAGAGAATAGTGTGGAGTTCCTGTTCAAAACACTTCTTTCTCCTTTCACACTGTTCTGTTAAATCACATACTCAAACAACATTTAACTGGTGTTATGACTAAGGCAAATGTCATTAGGAAACTACTGCCATATAATTTATACTATCTACATAAGTTATTCTGCCTTATTGAGAACTCAAAATTCAAACAAATGAAATTTGATTAAAGTACCATTAAGTCACTCACTGATGATTCACACAGGTAAAAAAAGTTTTTGAGTTATTATTTTGAAGTCCTTCCATTTTGGCCATTCATCCTCTTATTTCCAAAAACAAAATTAGATCTAATCTGACTGGTCTTTTTCAGTAGTGTCAATCAGGCAATGTGAAATAATGGAGGAAATGACTGACAGAGTTAGGACCTGCTCACTGGTCCTCTTTCTGTCAGTGGCTGGTTATATAATCAAAGGCAGGCCCCTAGACCTCTCCTGACCTTAGAATCTCCCAAACACAGAAAATACCACCTGCCTATTTTATAGGACTGTTGTGAGGAATCAAACAACATAGAAAAGCTTTCTGTAAACCGTTAAGTACTATGCGAATAGCAGCTGTTCCTTATATTTATTCTTTCCTTTGAGACCACCTTGCCCAGAAATTTTACTTTTAGCCATCTCAACCATCAGCAAGACAACCACGAGTCAAGAACAAAAATCTTTCTTTTCTGACAAAGCTATTTTAAAAATTAGTCAAATTAATATTGTGTGAGTACTGAAGGTTACGGACAGAATACACATGATTATTTGTTTTCCTTTGGTAATCTTCCAAGGTTATGGCAGAAGTCCTCTGTAAAGATAGCTCTATGCAATTAAGTGTCTCCAGAAGCAGTAACAACAATTATGAATGTCTGGTAATGTCTTAATTAAACTATCACGAAAAATTCAATTTGCAGAGCACTTAGGCTAATAAGGTGGGAAGTTTTTTGGTTTGCGCCCCACCCAACACTAAATAATTCAAATAAAAGGTATTGACAATTCAAAAGATGAACTTCATCTAACAGAAAATTCCTGTATCCTAATGAAGCTAGATGAAGGGATTACGTTCACATTATGTTACAAGTTCAAAGCTGAAAGCATTTATAGCAATTTAGGAAAAGGTTTCTGTAATCTAGCCACATTTAATGACACTATCCTTTTGTTACCAAAACTTTCTCTTTGTACTTACAAGTACATGATAAACTAGGAAAGACATTCTCCTTTTCAAGTTTTTTTCTTTCTGTATCTTCCTAACACTGTCCTAAGAAACTGCTTCTTAAAGCAAATTATCCCTTTTTTCCAGGACCAAATACCCTTAATGAACAGACAGATGGGATGAAATAGCTATAGATGACAATATGTACCAAAGCTTTCAAAGAAAACTTCCTTATGAGAAATTTGAAGTCTTGCCTATTAAAATATATTCATATGTTCAAGCTCTCTGCATCACTCGCAATGTAAATGACTAAAACCTCAATAGGCCTCATTAAAATACCCTAGAGTATCAGAAGTTTTAAAACGGTATCTAAAATAGAATTCTTCCTTACCACTGATCCAAAATGTAATTCCTAATTTTCAAATAGCGTTCTGGTGTTTTAGCTTGGCGCCCCTCAAAAAACTCAGGAATTGCTTGTTTTTCTTCTTCTTGAATGGTATTTCTATCTATTTCCACTTCTTGTTCTGGTGGCTTAAGCTCTTCTTCCTCATGGCTCTCCCCCTCCATTTGGCAGGAAGAATGAAAAAGCATTTCTTCATCACTCAGATCTTCCCGAACTTCACAAAGCTCTGGAAAAGGCAGCTGCCTGGCATCGTCTATTACTCCATTTCCATCATGTTTTTCACAGCTTTTCACCAGTTTATTACATTTCTGATCATTTAATTCAACTGATTTTTTGTCACTAGTGCTCTGTTTTTCAGTCCAAAATGTAATTCCTGAGCTTGAAAGTACTTCCATTTCACCCTGCTTTGTATTCTCAAAATATTCCTTGGAAGATTTAGATATGGAATCTTCCTGGTTGTAAGAAGCAATAAATTCTCCTTGACTGGTTTCACGACTTTTACTATTAGGAATGTTTAAAAAGACATCACTGCCAGGAATTTTGGGAGGAGCTTGAGAAGTCACCTCATCTGCCTCATCTGTAATGTCTACTTCTTCATCATCAGATAACTTTTCAATTTTTATAGCATTCAAGTTGGGATCAGCATGTCCCCTTAAACCTGATGGCGTCCAGGCCTTTGTGCCTTCATCTTCATTTTTAATCTGAAGACCACTGCTGCTCTTCTGATGTGGTGTTCCCTTCTCTGGACCATCTAATTTTACCTTATTAAAAATCAAGATAAAACCCCCATATTAACATTTAAAAATTTAACCACTGGTACATATATGATAAATACAATTATTAAACCGAGTACATGTCAATGGCATACCTTTATTGTGCTTTCCTTCTAAGGACTGATTCACAACTGCACTTTAAATGTAAAATATCATCATTTCAAATTTCCATAAATATATTTGACTCATTTATGGTCTGGTGATTTTATTAATCAAATAATCATGACCCATGTACAACTATACTTGTTTTTCCATTTTAAGTTTAAAACAGGAATCTGGTGTAGATCAACCAGAGAATGAACCAAAAAAACAAACAAACAAAAAAAAAAAACCTGTCATACAAAGGGATTCTTTAAGATATTAAAATATTTTTAATGGCTTAATTCTTAGAATGTCAGATACTTCCACTGATCATTTTTTATAAAGCTAAACAGCTCATTATTTAAAGGAATCTATGTCACATATCTTTATTTAGTAAATTGAAGGTAAATACAGTGATAATAGAAACAACTATTTTTCAAAGGTTCATTTAATAGAGTTCCAGCATTATACAGCTTATAATTTAAAGCATGAAATTATCTTCCATATCTGCTATTACAGACATAAATATCTAATCAAGGAAAAGAAAACAATTGTCAATGAATATAAAGGATTTAAAATAAAATCTTTACATAAATGGTTTTTGAAAAATCTTGTACATGACTGACATTCCCAAGGATGACAGCTCCTAAAAAAGAGCTTATTGTGATTCTGTATCACAATAGAACCCCAGGATCCAGTACTTGAGGTTAACTGGCTTACTGTGTAAAGAACAAAAGGGTAGGAGGAGAGAAAAACAGATGTGGACATATAGCCTGGAATAGCTTTTAACAATCTTGCTATTTACTCGAAGTCTCCTGTTTTTACGCTAAAAATTCAGACAAAATTTTATATTTCATAACATATTAATGTCTCTTTTAACATCACAGTGTATCCTTTCACCCCAAATCTTTGAGAAAGATTAACACTACAAGATGTTGTGCATGTTTGAGTCTGAGAAGCATGGAAGTGCGAATAACCAAGTTAATCTTTATTCTCTTCCATAATACCTTGGCCATGGTGGGCTGCCCTGTAAATGCTTTTGTTTGGTTAAAGACGGAGCACATGACTGATGTATAATGAATCCATTCCATTACCTACTTCCTATGCTCAAATGACACTAAGAGAAATCTTGTATACAGGGTAAAACCTATTATTTGCATTAAAAGAAAACAGCAAGTATCACTTAAGACCCTTTCAAATTCTGTATAATTGTGTTCCCAGAACTCAAGCAGAAAACATATTACAATTTTCTAAACATCAAAACTACATGGTTAAATATAGCATAGATTACTTGAAAGGATAAGGCACTAGACCATAACACTGCAACTTACTGAAGTTCTCAGATAATTTTACATAAAAATTATAAAAGTTTCACTGCTATTAAACAGATTTTAGCATCATGTTAATATTTATGGCCCCTAAGCTCTAATCATTCTTAAAAGCTACAATGCAGCCAATCTTTAAGAAGAAAGGGTATTTTCCAGGAAACAACGACTTCCAATAGCAATACTCAAAAAACTAAAGATATGCTTTCAGATTTTTGAAGATAAACATGTGTTAAGTACTTTAAGAATAAAAAATACTTTTATTACAAAAACTTCAGACACTGACTTTAATGCCTCAATTAAAAAGCTACTTTTGCTTACTAATTTTTATTGCAATTATTATTACTGACTAGGATATTTATATCCTGCTTACCTTATTTTTAAAGTACTGCCTGGCATAACTCTTAACTTGTAAAACAGTGCGACTTCCAATTAGCTTTGCAATTTTGGTCCACCTTCGGCCAAATTTAGCCTATATTATCAAAATGGAAATGAAATTGATTTTGATTAACTTAATATTCCAAGCAACTGTCACATTAAGAAAAACCTAAAAGAACAACCCATCTTTATTTTCTAAAGCACACAATGAAGTCTCATATATAGCTAAGATTCTTAAACTCATTAGAATCTAGACTTCTGAAAACTGACCAAAATGATTTAGAAAGTAGTTTTTACAGCTTTCGAGATGAAGATGCACCGCTTATATATTCCTAACCCTATGTATTCATATTGCACATTATGAGGTTCCCAACCTAAAAAACAAATGCCTCAAAAAAGGGAGGTTACATTTCCCATTTATAGAATCAACTGATTATATTCTGACACTGATTTCAAAATACCTTTTTTTTTTTTTTTTTTAAACCCAGATCCATGGGTTACAATACCCATTACCTATCCCATAGTACTTTTACTCTACATGGTATGGCAGTAAACTGACTTACAAGAATGAATCACAAATGATAGGACCTGCATCCAACAGCTTCCTGTAGCCCTGTACTGTTTAAGGCTGTGTGCCTGGGAACAATGAAGCTGTGATGGGAAAAAAAATGAGACCCGGGGGGAGATCTGGAGGTTTCTGAAGTACAGAAAGGAATGCAACATTTTTTTTAAAACTATATTTGGTGTTCTAACTTTTAAGTTTATTTTGAGAGAGGCAGAGACAGTGCAAGTGGGGGTAGGGGCAGAGAGAGAGGGAGAATCCCAAGCAGGCTCTGTGCTAATAGCATGTGGGGCTTGAACTCATGAACTGTGTGAGATCATGACCTGAGTCGAAACCAAAAGTCAGATGCTTAACTGACTGAGCCACCCAGATGCCCATGGGAATGCAGTATAATTTTAAAGCTAAAAGGAATTTTTAAGTGTCAATTCTATTACTTGACATATAAATCTTCACAGTAGTTCTACAACTCAGGTAAGCTGATCTCAGGGCCAGATTTATAGGTCACGTTACGACATTTACAGGTCATGACTTACAGTGGCAAATCATCTTCAAGACCTGACCCAAATAATAAATTAATTATATACTTATTTCTGATATTCATGAGAAAATCTGACACATGAACGTTTCTTAAAACTGAAAGTACTTTGGGGTGCCTGGTGGCCTGGTCAGTTACGATTCTGACTCTTGATTTCAGTTCAGGTCATAATCTCAGGTTCATGAATTCGAGTCCCACATCGGGCTCCGTGCTGACAGTGCAAAGCCTGCTTAGGATTCTCTCTCCCTCTCTCTGCCTCGCCCTCCCTAAAATAAATATATAAACTTAAGAAAAAAAACAAACTCAACGTACTTCTAGGATAATTCCTAGTAAGTATAAATTAAATAATTAACAACTATCTTAAATAATTTTTCTCCTAACTAACACCTAGCTGAGGGCAACTTACTGCAAAATTAGTTATATTTATTGTGGGATGAAGGCAAATGAATAACTTCGTAGCATGGAACACTTCTGGACGCAGCAAAGATCTGGACAATTGGGGCTGTAGGAGCTTAGGCATTATGAAAACTGGAGATGGTACACTAACAAGGGGAACAAAGAAAAAACTCACCAATTTCAAAATAGAGAAAAAAGAGAGCTCTATGCCCAAAAAAGGGAAAGAAAAATCTTCCTTCATCATTCAGTACCACACAATTCCTTTCCCTAAAGCCTGAGAGAATTCAGTGTATAAACAAACTATATCAACAGGTTAAAAAGGCTGGGAATACAACCAATAGTTCCATGTAGTTTTGTGGGAAAACATTCTAAGTTTAAAATATCTGTTTATGTATACAAGTAGATATCTATCTATCTATCTATAAATAAATATATATTTGCTTATATAGGGACAAAATATCTCTGGAAGCATACACAAAGAACAGATGACAATGGTTGCCTCCGGCAATGAGAACTAAGGCAGAGACAGGAGTGATAGGGGGACTTAATACCCTGTAACTTTAGATACCCTATGAATTTTGAGCCATGCAGATGAAGCCCCTATCATTACCACCAGTGTCAACAATAATCTAAAAATTTACAACCCATTATTGGGTGTGTATATGTGCGCGCGCGCACACACACACAGAGTCTTCAGTAAGGGGCAAAACACCAAAGCAATCAGCAATCTTAAATCAGTGACTAGTTAATTAAAGTTCAGTTATAAAAATGATAATCATGCAACAGAATGAAATACCAATATAAAAAACATCAACAGTACAGGATAAAAACCTCAGGAGGAGATAAAACCTTCAAGATAGTTTATTTATTTATACAAAGACATCACAGAATATATAGATGTCATGGTGATAACTGTAAAAATACAAATACATTTTATTTCCCTCATCTGCAGAAATTTTAACAATGACATTTCAATTTGCATTCATAAATCCCACATAAATATTACATAAATATCCTATATATAAGTATATATCATTTCAAAATTAGCATAATACTGGGTAACATGTTCCTTAAAGAAAAAGATACAACCTACACTTAATAGAAAAAAATTTCCAAATATTTTCGTAAAACTTTCTTCATGTTAGTAGGAGAATTTTCAGAATTAGAAACTGGCGTACTTTTTTTTTTTCTATTATGTAACCTGTGGACATTTAAATAGATCTCAGTGAAACATTCATGCAAAAGAAGTATTTCTGGTCTTCCACTACATCCACTAAAAAAATATTCGGACTGTGTGCACAATGCCAAATATCTGAATAAAAAAGAACTCAGCTCATTATGCAGACCGTTCCAAATATACAAGTTTTTTTGTTTTTCTGGGTTTTTTTCCCCCCAAGAGAAAACATCAGATAAGTATTTTCTTCCTTTTAATCTAGGTAGTTGGTGTTATGTATACAGACAGAGCTCAGTTTCCTGGGTTTTACCAATACCAAAAAAGAGTGGGGGGAGGATGAAAACTATCTAAAATATTGATCCAAATCTATTTTAATATTTTAGTAATCTAGACACGAGTTAAAAGGAATTCTCTCATGCTATACTATCAACATCGCCACTACAGAAAGACTAAAGATGTGATCATTAAAAAGAAATCTCTGGTCTCTACAAATTAACCTTATAATTCTTTTAATATTGGCTTCTAGAATTATTTTACTATAAATTAAAAATTGCACTATTTACCAGCCCTTGTTCAAACAGCTCTTTTTCTTCTATCGTCCACTTTACTGAGTAACTGGCTGGTTTTGTAGGAGAGTGTGCCCTGAAGGGAAAAAAAGGAATTGCAAAAAAAAAGTCTGAAATGGAACATTCCATATTTATGCAGCTAAAGGTTACACAGATAGCCATAGGCTAAATTCAAAACTGTGTCTAAGAGTTAAAAAGAAGAAGAAAAAGAAGGCTGCAGCCTCTACCTGGGGGCAGATTTACCCTGTCTTGTATACTTCTCTAGCCCAGGATGATAGGAGCCTCAAAAGACATAATCCTTGAGTCTGAGTGAAGATAACACTAAAAGACATCAAAGGAAGTCAATGTGGTAGCCAGCAGGCTTCCTTACACTGGACACAAAGCAGCAGACATTAATAAATTTCCAAATCCTAAAAGGTATATGAGTGTTTAAATTGGCTCCAGAAATATTATCTCTCTGATTCTTTCATGTAAATCTATGTAAACATCAAGCAAGAAAAGAAGAAACTGTGGCATTATGTTTATTACTTCTGAAACGCAGTCCCTTAAGAAATTAAAAATAAAATAGTGATGAAGCTCATTAATTTAATTCAAGCAAACCATTAATCTTTATTAACTTCTTTTTCTTTGTTTGTTGTTATTTATTCAGCGAAATACAAAAGCCAAAGTCTGCTCAGTGTTCAAACCCTTGGCAATTGTAAATCTACCCTTTGTAAGTCTACCCTTTGAGGGACCACAAACGTGAAAGGTTATAAAACAATAAATAACATCAAATTTCCTTCAATTACAGGGAAAGAATATTTATAAAATGTTAATACTTAATTTCTCTAGATAATTTTTGAAGGCCACAAATTCAAATTAAATTTTTGTTTGAAATGAGTGAAAATTAACTGACAGGACAACAGAAATCAAGCCAATTCCTAACACATTAGCAGCTTTAAAATATTTCCCCACATATCCCTAGGAAAACATCTTTTCCATAACCTCATGGAATTGCTTATGCAGGACCATAATAGAAATTCTGACATATAAATAATATCATAAAATTATCTTGTGGCATTCCAACATCTGTATAAGAAACTTTGATTTTTATATTTTTGTACAACCCAAGGTTAAGAGTTTTTCCACAGGCCAACTATAATTTTTATTTAATTCTCCCATAATTTTAGAATATAAAACATATAAGTACATACATGATTTTTGCTGATTTCTGTAGACTGCACCACATGAAAAAGAAAATAAGGGAGCTTAGGAACACATTTTTAAAAATACAGTTCATACTGTTAAGAGTATTAAAAATTAATTTTACCTCTTCATGTATTTTTTATCACCTTCCTTTTGATCGAGCCAGAAATTTTCTGGAAGTGATTTTTTAGATAAGTAATACCTGTGTAATTATTAAAGAAACTTTTTAAACAATAATAAAATCATGTAATTTTTAGGTGACTTATATTAAGTAGGCACTCATTATCATGAAAATCACACTTGAACCTTAGCTAAACTAGTTCTTCTTAAAACCCTTCCAGGTCTGCAAAAATTATGATGAAAATATACCTCACAAGGCTGTTATATGGATTAAATATTACATGTGAAATCACACAAACATAGCACCTGCACAAAATGTGTGCTACAAAAATATTAGCTTCTCCTATATTCCCTATTAGATAGAAGTGGTTAAGAGAAGAATGTAGCCTTAAATGTTTCATTTAAATAATTTTTTCTTAAAACATATGGGAAATGTAATAGATGAATTTGATTGGTTGTCCAGGATTAACTGGGGACTATGATTTCATAGTTCTAAAGGGAACAGAATTCAGGGTTGTTCTCTACCTTAATTAAAATAACTTAGGTCAAATCTGCTATGGACCCTCCCTCTCAAACTTCTTAAAACTGGCCCATTGTAATACTCTTAGATTAGTCTGAGATGTTCTTCCCTTAACAAATATGGACTCTATATCTTGTATGTCAGGAACTACGCTAGGTACTAGGAGCTGAGGACCAAGATACAAGAAAACAAACATCCCTGTCCTCTGAAAGTTCACACAGCTTTCACTCTCATTATGTTTCCGTATCTGGAAGTGAGCCAATGACCACTTAAATATTCATTGAGAATTGCAAGGTTCGATGCATTAGCCGATAGCCACATATAAAAAAAGATTGTAAAATATCTCAGTAATGTTTTTCTATTGATTAAATGTTCAAATGTTATCTTAGATATAGTGGATTAAATCAAATATCTTAATAAAATTAATTTTACCTGATTTAAATGTGGCTACTAGAAAATTTAAAATGATATATGTGCCTTGCACTATTTTTCTATTGAAAAGCAATGATCTAGGCTGTAGCTATGATGTTGGGGAAAGTAAGAGAATAAGAAAGCCTAAAAGGAGTTAACCTAGGATAATTAAAGGTACACAGACACTCTGAAATCAACATAGCAATAACTGAATAAAGGGAACAGAGGAATTCTGGCTTAACAAGGAGGTTGATATCCAAAAAATACAGATGAGAGAGTTAAAAATAACCCCATTTATCAGACTATTATTAATAATCTTTAAAAATCATAAAACCAGAAATCATTTTGTTCAATCCTTTCATTTTACATATAAGAAAACAGAGTCCCAAAGAAGTTAAATTGCCATCATCAAATTTAAACATGGACAAGAAGCTAGTGGCTAAACTGTGGATAAAGATCTATGACTTCTGAGGGAAAAAAAATCTTCAACCTGCAGTTATTTGTTTTGTGCTTTTTACTTAGATTCCTACCATGTAACATCTGTAAATTGGTGGAGTAAGAAGGGAGAACTTTTACATATTCTAATTCTGTGTCCCTGGGTAAGTTAACATCTCTGCGTTTCAGCTTCTATAACTGAAGATAAAGGCCTGGACTCAATGATCTTGGACATGGATTAAAGGTTCCAGCTGACGTAAAACATCCTATAATTTCTATTCAACATTCAGATAGTATAAAGAGTTGGTTGACAAAAGAAACTCAAACATACTGAGTCAGATCTCAAACTCTGCAGTAAAACAGAACCAAAGGAATAAAATGAGGCTTTTTTCATAGGTAGATAACACATTATGTAACTGCAGTCTGGGGCCAAACAAGATCCATCTAGTAATAACAGTGGTCTCTTTTGTAAGTCTTGCATTTACAGGTTTTTAACCCTGAGAGTTTTACTTTCCTCATGATCATTAAAGGATACTCTTCTTCCAACAACATCTTCTGAATGACAGCTCTGTTCTCTTCACTGATGGTGCTATCCAGAGTCCAAGGCTATTAAAAAATAAATATTTTTCTTTTTATTTACGCTTTTTGAAATTATCTTCTATGTCTTATTAAATGAAATACATGATACAAGGATTACAAATAATAAAAGCTACCATTTACTAAGCACAGACATATCTCTGATTCCCACGATACACTGTGAGATAGGTGTTACTACTTCACTGATGCATCCATGTTTCAAGTGGAGGAGTAGAGAGTTGGTACACAAGACTGCTGGATTCCAAGGCTCAGGCTCCTTGCCCATGTTAAAGTCATAATGGCTATCATGTACGAAAAGTTATCAGGTAGCAAGCATGTTGCTAGATATTTCACCTATTTCCAAAACTCACCACACTTTTTTCCCTTACGGCACAATCTCTCCTTAAAGGATCATACTCATTTTCAACTCTCAAAACTTAAAAAATTTCAGCTCAGGTCTCTTCTCCAGGCTCCATCTAGACTGTTATATCCAACTGTCAACTCAAAATGTCCACGTGGATATCTAGCAGGCTTCTCAAAAATTAACATATTCAAAACTCACTAACATATACCTTCACCTGCTTCTCCCGTGTTCCCAACTTTGTACCCAGCATTATTAGTCACCTACTTATTCAACCTAGGAATCATCCTGGATTCCTCCCTTTTTTCTCAATCCCATATCCGATCTACCAAGCAGTTCTATGTCCAAAACATAATTAAAATCTGACACCTCTGCCACAACCTCAGGCCATACCACCATCTACTCTTGCTTAGGTTGCCACAAATGTTTCCCAACTGGTCTCTTTGGTGCTACTCTTGCTGCATACAAACATGACAGAGCTCTGGTCTGCCTCTCCAACCCTGCCACTCCCCGCTTTCCCACTACATTCTAGATACTGGCTTTCAAACAGAGCCTCTGTGCTGCTATTCCTTCTGCCTAGAATGTTTTTCCTCAACTCTTCATGTATCTACTCCTCTTTGTTACTTGTCAACTGTCACCTTCTCAGTTTCCTTCAAAGACACCTTCATCTAAAATAGGCTCACCCCATTACTCTCAGCCATCATCTTATGTTCTTCACAGTCTGTAATTAATTAGCCTACTTATTTATCACCTGACTCCCTTTTAGAATACAAGCTTCTTGTGAGCAAGACTATGTCTCAATTATGTTTCCCCTGAACCTGTCCTAGTGTGTGGCACACAGTAAGTACTCAATAAGTAATTGCTAAGTGAAAAAAATGAACCCTGCAACGATCCCCATCTTTTAGAAGAAACTGAGGTTCAAAAATCTGGTAAGTGGTAGGGCAAGGATATATACCTAAATCTAGCTGGCTCCAAAGTTGTTTCTCAACAGGCCATTTTTCAAAGTCCAAAGAAGTTAAGACTAAGTTTCTTTTCTCTTTTTTAATGTTTATTTATTTTTTGAGAGAGAGAGAGAGAGAGAGAGAGAGAGCAAGTGGGGGAGGAGCAGAGGGAGACACAGAGTCCAAAGCAGGCTCCTGGCTTTGAGCTGTCAGCACAGAGCCCGAGCGGGGCTTGAACCCCTCAGCCGTGAGATCATGACCTGAGCCAAAGTTGGACACTTAACCTACTGAGCCACCCAGGTGCCCCTCTTTTATTTTTAAAGCAAGAAAAATGTTTCAGTATATTACCTCTGCAACTGCTGAGAACCACCAAGCAAGAAAAGAGGTACCCGGGCAATAAGTAGTAGCTTAATGCACCTGATATTTTCATAAAATACTTACAATAAGACCATTCTCAGCTCTCCATGATGAATCAAGATAGTGATCTTGTAAAACAGACGCTGTATTTTCATTGCTTCTGTAATAATTAAGAAAATGGGTAAAAAAAAAAAAAAAGGGGGGGATATTATGCCAGTTAATGAAAATAATTTACACAGCACAGTGACTGGCAGGGTATAGATGTTACGCAAATATTGTGTTCCCTTCTTCCCTTAACAAACAGATTTACCAGTGCAGAAATGCCTGCTCTATTTCTTTAACCTGTGATATATACAGTGGCGTTAAGCCACCCTATTTCAACCCCTAACCAGCTAGTCTGTTCACTTCTGTTTGCCAAGAGTAAACAACTTCAAGAGAAAACAAATACCCCGCAGCAGCAACCACAACATGCTCTATGGCTCTGAACTAACACTTCAGAGTTCTTTTGATGTGCATGCATATGAATACAGGAATTCAACTTTACAATTAATTCTTTTAGTTATATCGAAAGCATAAAGGCCATCAACAGCAGCACCACCCTCAAAGTGAAACAACAAAACAGTGGATCAAAGAACCAAAATAGAAAATACTCACAGTAAAGAGAACAGAAAACTTGATGTTTTAATAACAACTCATATAATAAAAAAAAAAAAAATTAACTTGGGTTATCTGGGGGTTTTTCTACATCCACGGGGACTAAACTGTTAATTCTCACTCCTTTCACCAAACTATTAAAAACTCTCTGAAGTCACATTGTTCACTTCTTATGCAAAAAAGCCAAACAGTTAAATTTTAGAAGGCCCAATCTAGGATATAATTAAATTTAATATTTGCTTTTTTATGTCTTGAAGTTATAGTTTCCTAGAAAATTACTGACTTTTCCCAGGCCTACTCTAGTGGTAAGAATTTTGTACCTTAGGCTGCAAAAACCTATCTACAGGTTTATACTTCTGAATCCTCAATTAGTTCTACAGTAGTTCTAATAAATTGTGGGACTAATGGATTATGTACAGTGAACTAAAAGCAATTAATTTCTCTCTGCTGTTGATGGCAAAAAGGTTTTAACTCAGGTGTTAACTGTGATTTGGTAGCATTCCAAAGGATTCTGAGACTTGTATCAGCAGAAGGAAAACTTTGCGTAAGGAAGTCTGCCAAGGGTGCAGGAGGTGGGACTAGTATCACTTCAGGTTCAATGCAGGTATCTTTTTACAGTGTTCCTCCATAAGGACTAGCAACTTCCACGCCTCTGGTGTATACATCTGGACACCTACCTGAATCTCCACAGGTAGGCATAAATTAACGTTTAAATCTTAGTTGAGAAATTCCACCCAAATCTGCTACTCTTCCATTGTTTCCTATCTCAAAACATATTAATTGCCCTAGTTTCCCAAGCCAGAAATCTGAACCTGCCCTTATTTCCTCACAATGGACATTCAATTCATTGCCAACCCTGTGGCTTCCTCCCTTTTCAAATCCAGTCCTTCCACCATATCCATGCTGACCTCTAAGGCCCTGTAGTTTCAGACCCACTTTTCCTGGGTAAGTGCCTAAGATACAGCTGACACGTCATCCACTTCCCCTTATCTTTTTCCATGTATCCCCATCTGGCCCATATGTAAGTTTTACTGTCTCTCACCCAATAAGAATGTTAGTTCTAGGAGAGCAAGGAGTTACTTTGATAACTGCTATATATGTAGGCCTTGCCATATAAAAGGTGCTCAATCAACATTTGTTGAATGAACGAACAAGATAGGTGGAACATGGGTCACCCAGGTCTATAGAGTTACGGAATGAGAATTTTATCATAAAACAAATCAGGGACTGAAGGGAACAGCATGATCAGATTTGGATGTAAGAAAGACTGATCTAACTTCAGTAAGGAATAGAAGGGGGACAAAGAGACAAGTTGAGAGTGAGTGATTATATAAATATTAAGAGAGGTGACAGTAATTTAGACCTAGGGAACAAGCAGTATGAACAGGAAGAAGTGAATAAATTTGAGAGGATACTTAGAATCAACAGACCTTTAGCAACCAACAGGACAGAAGGAGTGAAAGAAGAGAGGTAAGGAAAAGGGATAAAGTCTAGGTCTGTGCCTTGAATTACTGAGTGGATGGTGCCATTTATTGAACTAGGGAACTTGGAGAGGCAGATGGCAGGTGTGCTGGGAAAAGTTTGTAAGCTGAGATTGAGGTGCTTATGAAACATCCAAAAACAGATTCAGAGAAGTAGATAAATGGATCTAAAGCTCAGGAGAGATGTGAGTTGGTGATGGATTTGGGAAACATCAGCATGTTTTAAGGTGTAACTTGAAATAACTGTCATTTTTTTTTTATGGTAAAAAATGGTTGAACATTGGCAATATTTTACACGTTCCAATCTACCAGAGAGCAATTTTAAATCTTGAGAGATGGCATAACTAGGGGCTGCGTGGCTAGTGTTAGTTTTTGTTAGTTTTGTCTGATGACAAAACCCCATGGAACACTTTAAGGACAAGCAGAAGAAAAGGAAGATGAAAACGAAAAGGTAGAAGTAAAAGGGAAACCAAAGTTTCAATGCCCCCTTCTAACTTTGGTAGCTAGAGTTTAGCAAGTACTTAGAAGTGTGTTTTCAATTAATCCTCAACGGTTCCACAGACGTTGTCATTAGCTTTAACTACATACCTCAAGGGGCACCATTCACACTACATTCCATACGCCTGGAGCTCCAACATCAGGGAACACCACTCAGCAGAATATAATGTTAATGATGCTCCTTGGAGTTGGGTAAGGCAATGGCTCTGACCATCAGGAACCAGTAACTTTTGTAGTCCTGCTTGCATGAATCTAAGATGATCATAGATGTCACTAGCAGACCCAAGGCTCAAGCACATTAGCAAGAGAAAGGAAAGAAAAAGGCAGAAAAATTAAACACGATCAGAAAAATAAAGAACCTATGGTAAAGGGGTAGAGCCAATGCTCTCAGACATTTTGAGTTTCCGAGGCCAACTCACTTCTCTCTGGACTGCAGATAAGTATCCCTTGCTCATCACATGGACTTATTGTGACAAGTAAATTAAGTCATCCATGCAAGAGCACTTGGTCAAGATTAACTTGATCTACACAAATACGAACAATGATTGTTATTAAAGGCTCCTTACTCATCTGTACAGTTTTGCCTAATAGTTTGGGAGAGAATGACTATATGAATTTCATTACTCCTCACATTTTTATACTGCTTTAGTGTTCAGTAGAATTTTAGACCCACTATCTTAATCCCTCACTGGCAAGGTTGGTACTGTTCTCCAAAATTTACAGAGGCCCTAATATTACGTTGGACCATATGAAATTGCCATTTTTTAAGTCAAGAAATGGTCTAAGACTAGCAAATCCACATGGTTCACTCAACCTAACAGACTTCTAATGAGGCTGTTGGCATTTATAAGCAACATAACTGGCTGAGTTTAGAACCGAGGTCTTCCTATTCCTGACCTGATTCCCGACCCGTCTATGCCTCTTCCACTTCTAAAAGGTGACTGGGGAAGCACATTTTAAAAATAGTACGTATCAATTTCTTACTTGGAAAGCAAGCAGCCAAAAGGCTAGATCTCTCAAGCTGGAGATTGTTGCTTAAAACCACATTGGCCTGTTCTCCAAGAATCTGCAAGTATTAAATAGTGACCCCTCACTAGGTCCACATAGTACCTTCCACGGGGGTAAGGAGACAGTGAAGAATAAAACATTTACATAGCTTGTACTGTATGCTACAGCACATCTCATGATTACTTCATCTGATGTTCATAACAACCACATGAGGCACACACCATGACTGTCAGTTTACACATGAGCTGTCTGAAGCTCAGGCAAGTTAGATGTCTGGCCCAAGGTCACACTGCTAGCAACTGGCAAGTCCGGCCGATGCAGGAGAACCCAGAGCTGTCCTAAAGTCCTATCCCTTCAAGTCAAGCTGCCTTTCAGGAAGTTTTTCACAACTAACCCCAAGTGAAACCTATGGTCAGTAGGGATGAAACGACACGCCCAAGGTCACACGGCTTACAGCGACAGAATTAAGGATTCTAGAGCTCAGGTCCCACCCAGAGTTCGCCCTTGTTTTAGTTATTGTCCAGAGGGGGCAAGTGGGCGGATTCTGGCGAGATTCTGCGGTGGAGCTAAAGGAGGAAGGAATCTAATTGTTGCAGAGAGTGCAATGTGCTAGGCGAAGTCGGCGCCCTCGCAACATCCCGGTAAAAGGTTAAACAGCCGTCCGACACTGGCCTCAGGTCCCCGCCCGCGGAGCTCAGGTGTAGCTTACAGGCGGGATGGGCGCGGCGCCTCCCTGGCCACCAGGAGACCCTGGCCCAGCGGATGGTCTTCCGCTTCCCTGTTCCTTGCCGGACCCGCAGCCTTTCCAGGTTACTCTCCTCGCACCCGCGCTCCTCCCCATCCCAGCGACACTCGGTCTCCACGCCTCACCCTGGCTGTGCCGTGGATGGCACCACGTCCCCTTCAACATCCACATCCGCCTCTTCAGCCGCCATGATGGGACCTAAACCCATCCGTCCTCCCGAGAGATCCCGCGAGAGGTGGAAGGATTGGGGTGGGGTCTCAGGCGTCACGGGGCGGAGTTGAAGCCTCGTCCAGCCCCTTCCGTGCAGTGGAGGCGGGGCCTCCGGAGAAAAAAAGGACCACAGTAATGTGCACCTTGGTTCGTTGGACCCAGTGTGTAAAGTCCTTTGGAAGCAGTTCAGGCTTTCTTTGAAGAGATTGTGCTCTCGGACAAATTCTTGGCTCCTCACTTGTCTCATTGGTAAAATGGGAATAATGGTAAGTATCTGGAGTGCTGAAAAGTTCAAACCAGACCTGCTTTGAACAATGAAAGGTGACAACAATGAAAGACCCTTACCTGCTGCTGGTTTTCTTTTTTTCCTTTCCTTTCCTTTTCTTTTTTCTTTAAGGAAAAGGATCATTCAGCGATTATATGAAGTACTAAACAGCTTCTATTTTAAAATTCAAAAAAATGTTTAAGAATGTAACTGATTTTATAGAGATCTTTACAATTAATTAAAAATTCACATTCATAACCATTGATCTTTACAATAACCCAGTAAGGACTGGTATCATCAGTCACATTTTACAGATGAAGGAACAAGCTCAGAAAATTGAAATGACTGGGGCGCCTGGGTGGCTCAGTCGGTTAAGTGTCCGACTTCAGCTCAGGTCATGATCTCACGGTTCGTGAGTTCAAGCCCTGCGTTGGGCTCTGTGCTGACAGCTCAGAGCCTGGAGCCTGATTCGGATTCTGCGTCTCCCTCTCTCTCTCTCTGCCCCTCCCCCACTCAGGCTCTGTCTCTCTGTCTCTCTCTCTCTCTCTCACTCAAAAATGAATAAACATTAAAAAATTAAAAAAAAAGATTGAAATGACTATCAAAGGATATATAGCTAGTCAAAGACAGAGCTAGGACCAGAATCTGGGTCTTTTGACCCTTTACTGAGTGCTCACCCTCTACAAATCATGTTAGGAACTGTGAAAGATAAACACCATTTCTCTCAAATTTTGACTTCTCAAGAAATTAGATATTGGCCTTAAGTATTCATCTACCTTAGGGGCACCTGGGTGGCCCAGTGGGTTAAGTGCTGACTCTTGATTTTGGCTCAGGTCATGATCTCACCATGGTTGGTGGGTTCCAGCTCTGCATCAGGCTCCACGCTGAGCGTGGGGCCTGCTTGGACTCTCTCTCTCTCTCTCTCTCTCTCTCTCTCTCTCTCTCTCTCCCTCTGCCCCTCCCCCTGCTCATGCTCTCTCTCTCACTCAAAATAAATTAAAAAAAATTTTTTAAAGTATTCATGTACCTTAGCATTTATCAACTCATATTACTATAACTGTTTATTCACTTGTCTGCCTCTAGCTCTGAACTATGAATTCTTTAAGGACAAAGGCTTTATCTGCTAGTCTGCATACTAGTCCTTATACCACCAACATTCAGCATGGTGTCTGACACGTCATAGATGCTCAATAAATATTGAAGTGATGAATGAATGAATGAATGAATGAATGAAACAATTTAAGTGTGCTCAAGACAGCCTTCTAACTGACCCAGGCAGCCTCTCCACTGTCATACCTCCTCATGTCACTTTTTGCTAAGTTTGTACAAAGAACAGAGGACAAAATAACAAAATTTAACTGCCATATCTCTACAATTTCATAGTATGTTAAAAGAAAGTTTTTGAATTATCCTATGTTTAGATTTTTCGCATGAAAATGAACTTTTGTAATTATTCCAATCCCTGTAAATTTAGTTATTTGTAATAGCTAACACAAACATGAGAAGAACATTTTAGTTCATTATGATGCTCTGCTTCCCATAAACTGAAATCGAATGAATGTCAGAATAACTTTAGAGTAGAAAGGGAAGAGGATGACTTACAAACAGAGAGGATGGGTCATGGCTAGTATGATCACCTCCCATATCCCAGATATTGTGTAGGATAGAATCGCTTTTGGGGGGCGCCTGGGTGGCGCAGTCGGTTAAGCGTCCGACTTCAGCCAGGTCACGATCTCGCGGTCCGTGAGTTCGAGCCCCGCGTCGGGCTCTGGGCTGATGGCTCGGAGCCTGGAGCCTGTTTCTGATTCTGTGTCTCCCTCTCTCTCTGCCCCTCCCCCGTTCATGCTCTGTCTCTCTGTCTCAAAAATAAAAAAATAAAAACGTTAAAAAAAAAAAAAAAAAAAAAAGAATCGCTTTTGGGCTTCCCAGGAAATCTGCAAAGTAAATATTATCACCCCTTATCCCCCGCCCCCACCTCATTTTAGAGTCAAGGAAACCAAAATTCATAGAGTTACAGTTATACAGCTGAGTACTCGAGGTGAGATTTCAGTCCAAGTCTTTATCCCTCTATACCTCACTCTATTATATTCTAATTCACAACAAAAAGAAGAGGGTCTTTTGGAATACTATGGGAACTGGTATTTTCTCATTTGGTTTAAGAATAAATTATAACCAGATACTTTTTCTGATCTCTTTGAGGTGCTGAAGTCTAGAAGTGAGTAGAAAGTATATTTTGAAGGTTGGAAACTTATCTTGGGTTAACAAATTCTTTTTCTGTCCCCCATTAATACACTCTATTTCCTTCGTTGGTCCTAAAACAGAATTAGTAAGAGGTGCCATATCTGCAAATCCTCACAAGTGTTGTTAGAGGAACATTCAGTCAATAAAGTGTCTGTCTCACATTTTAACTACATTGTGTTTGAATCCATTGGAGAGGCAGTTTATGGCTTCGTTTCTTCCCATTTCTGGTGAAAAAAGATCACTGCATTTTTATTGAAGAAGCAAAGTATAATTGCAATATTAATCCGTAAAAAGCTAGCATGTTCGCATTCATGCTAATTAGCTCAGATTTGTAAAGTGCTTTAAAAGCAGTAACACAACTGCTCACTAATGTTATTGTTATGTTATGATCCGAGCTGTCAGCTAAATGACTGCCAGGGATTCAAAAGAGTTCCCATTTGAAAAATAAAATGGCCAGTGATCAGATAGGAGAACCACTTTATCTATACAGAGGTGAGATAATAGATGAATGCAGACATAGACTTACTTATGGGCTACACTTGGCAGGCAGTGGATAGGCTTGAATTGTTCCAGGAAAACAAGCTGCATTTTATTTTATTTTCCCTCCCCAGTTCCCTGAAATCACATAAGGTAGCTACTGAAAAAGCTGTTCTCAATATGTTGTAAGGAACGTCTGCCAATGCACTTCTTACATTTTAATTACAGTAATGTTACATCCATCTGACATTATTTGGAAGGGAAAGACAAGATGCCAATATTAATGAACTCCTACTGTGTGCCAGCCATTTTACATACATTATTTCCTTATAGCTCTTGGAAGTAGGGAATTATTATTTCCACTTACAGATGAAGTAACTGAGGTTCAGAAGAGTTGAGCAATTTACCCAAGGAACGGTAGCTTATCGTTTTTTCCTGACATCGTGCTATCTTAGGTTAGGTTCTAATAGCATCATTTAGAATTGCATTTTTTCTTCTCAGCAACCCCCACTGAAAGGATTATGCCTCTTTCTTAACAGCTCCGGGAGGATGGGTATAGCTGGCCAGGCTTGGGTCACGTGCCATCCAAGAAGCCAGGTGGACTCAATTCCACCAGCATCACGTGGAATAAGGAGGCGCGGTGGCTCCCCGAGCAAAATAAGGGTACTGTTTCCAGAGAGAGGAAGAATGGAGGCTGGGTAAGTAAAACAACAGATGCCCACTATACTGCGCTGTGTTTCAAGTCCCCTCTGTTTCCTCAGGCCCTTAGTACAATCTGTGAACAGCTACAGGCTCATGTCAGCCCTACATCGGGCAAATTACTCAACCTCTCTAGACTGTTGCTTCTTCATTTATAAAACGACCTATGAAATAATCTCCTCCAGAGGTAAAATTCTTTCATCACATTCTTATTCGTTTCATGGACACTTAGGAACATTGTTGTGGACAAAACGGGGATGGAATTGTGGAAGTTTGCATGGGGTTGTGTACGGTTGGCTGCTTAGTTAAGGACGGGCCATAAGCAAAATATTCCCTCTGCCTGGAATCGGCAACCCTTCCCCCACTCCCAGCCCATCCACATTCTGGGGCGCTCTGCCGCTCTCACCCCCTCTCTCTCTTTCCCTCTGAAAGAGCTGGTTCTGACTCAGCTTTAGTCAACTGTTGCCATTTTGGAGCTCTGGCTCAGAGTTACCAGATCTTCTGATTTTTCTTTTAGGACAAGCCAGAAATCAAGATTAATTTGTGAAAAACAATTCAAATTAACAAAAAAAAAAAAAAAAAAAAAAAAAAACAACAACACTATTGAACCAAACAAACACTTATGTGGGCTGCATCTGACCTGCAGCTCGTGACTGTTGCCCTAAATCTTTCTTTTGCACTACATGTAACACTTCAGTTGTTCTTATTTTTCACAGGTCTGAATATGGCACTAGACTAAAGTCTTCTTAAGGGCAGGGAACATGTTTCTTTTTTTCTTTTTCTTTTTTTTTTTTAACGTTTTATTTATTTTTGAGACAGAGAGACAGAGATGAACGGGGGAGGGGCAGAGAGAGAGGGAGACACAGAATCAGAAGCAGGCTCCAGGCTCTGAGCCATCAGCCCGGAGCCCGACGCGGGGCTCGGACTCAGGGACCACGAGTTCGTGACCTGAGCCGAAGTCGGATGCCCAACCGACTGAGCCACCCAGGCGCCCCTCTTTTTTTCTTTTTTAAAGAGAGAGCGTGTGCACATGCAAGTGGGAGAAGGGCAGAGAGAGAAAGAGAGAGAGAGAATCCTGAGCAGGCTCCGAGCTCAGCAGGGAGCCTGATGCAGGGCTCAATCCCATGACCCTGGAATCATGACCTGAGCTGAAATCATGAATCAGATGCTCAACCAGCTGAGCCACCCAGGTGCCCCATGTTTCTGTTCCTCTTTGCATGCCTTGCATGTAGCACAATGCCTGACACATAATAATCACTTAACGATTTTTTGTTGAATGAGTAAACCAACTACAAAGAATAAAGTCAGAGATTTTTCTTTTAGTTGAATACAGAAAACT